TTCTTATAAAAAATAGCGATGGCAACAGGTTCGTTCCTTCACCCCACAATCTATTTAAGCATGTTTATTGACCAGCAGTGACGTTTATTCAATTTACAGGATAGGAAGCGCTCCGAAAGCACTTACGCTGATGTTTTGTTGGCACATCACTTTATTCACGCTAAGATTTCGGCTGAAACAGATTATTGCGACTCAGTTGTATTACAGCTAGATTGCGGTGACTGCTGAATTTGCTTCAAAGAATGTGTTTTATTCAAGCAAACTTAATTGGCAACCAGGCTTTTATTAGAATGTCACGTACAAGTAGTAACTTATTGGCTGGAAACGTCCCAGTCAAGTATGTTGTTCTCCTGGTGAGATAACATATGCCTGCACAAACATGGAATAAACGACTACAGCAACTGTGAAGAAAATCGATTCAGAAATCGTGCGCCACCATGTGGCGCACGCGGCCATACAGAGCAGGAAAGCCGTGCGCCGCCATGTGGCGCACGCGGTACGCAATGTGTTAAATACTCCTGTCGCGCGGTTGCCCTTTATCCTCTGATGGGGCTTCAGTCCCACAAGGGGGTCAACAGTAGGCGGATACGGATTAGTGAGCGCCAATTTCTTACAGAATACCCCATTGATTTATTTTGTTTTCGATTCTTTACACTAAACTCGTCGAATAAATTTTACACTTACTGAGCTAGTCTCCATTGGCTATAGCCTATCCAACACATTTTTTAACTCTATTCTTTTCTTATCCAATTTTAAGCACGGCCGCCTTCGCCAAGTTGGACTAATTCCAGTTCGGGAATTGAGTGATGGGAAAGGTTGGCGCTACGTGTTTCTCTTTCGAACTTTAATAATTGATTCGAAAAAAGAGAATATGAAAGAATTTTAAGTTTCCTTTTCCAGCAATAGATGAATAGATGCTGAGGTCGACTTTCAGCCCCAATGCAGGCAGTTTTACTGGGTTACCGCACGTTGGACAGTATGACCATCGAAGTTCATGTCAAGCGAGGATGGAACGAATGGCACATTGGAATCTCATAGAGATTCTGATGCGTCAGATATGAGAGACAATGCGGACCATCCAGAGTATTCAAGTTGTAAGATCCCTTTGTTTTGCTTGTTGTCTTCATATTGACTGAAGTTCGTCTTTTTTTGGTTCTATTAAGGTTTTTTCACTAGGTTCAGAGGCGCAACGAGTCCAAGATAACGACGACAAGCAGTGAGCCTAGACTATTCAGGGCAGCCGACGTTGCGCATTTCATTCTCGGCTATACCTGTATTTACGCAACAAATCGTTGGTTCTTCTCACATCCAAGCATCGGCATATAGGTTTTGTTCGGTCCCAAGAGCGTTCCTTCAGGTGTGAGAAACGTTGCTATGCGTAAAAGAAGTGGTCATCATTAATAGCTCTTAAACTCACGGCATTATTTGCACGGTGTCATTCTGATCATCCAAATGCGCTCTATCTCAAAGTCAATCGATTGATACTGAAACGAGAGATTTCAGAGTGGAGCGCGAGCTCTTTGGTGGGGCTCGAGACTGTCTATCCAGGCTTCGATGAGAGGACACCTGTGGCGCTGGTACGACAGTTGGACCGTCGGTTGCAGAGCAAGAGTGTCGCAGTCGCCGTGTTACCGCACGTCACTCACTCCACTTTCACTCTTCTCTCCCTTATCTTTTAACTTCATTATTTTTAATAAATATGTTTATTCGAGATGTTGTGTCCTCCTAATACCACTACACACCTCAGGGAGCCGATATCCATCTTTCCCCGGGCGAGAACAACTAAATGGTCACTTCACGAGAGCTTACACGCGTCGCGAAAGCTAATAATGATGAGCAGTTAGTTTTTGTAATGGGTGTCAGGGCGTATCATGAGCAATGAGGCACCGAGCATTCTTTTAGTGTAGCGGTCATACGCGGTGTAAATCTGTGTCGCAAACTCAATTACCTGATTCACGACTTGCGAGGGAAATCGCTTGGCGGGCATTTGCTCTGCAAATGAATGGCTGGGGAAATACCGCGTTAAGGAGGAGACATCGATTACATTGTTTTCTCTAGTCGTTCCGGCGCTCGTCAGAAGGATTATGATATACAAAAGGGCAGTTGTTCTATCGAATAGCGTTTCGAGGGGCTCCACGTTCAGAAAGTTATTGAGTTGCGGCTCATATAAAGTTTACGTCTATTTTAGCAAGATCCCGATTATATCAGATATAAAAATTGTGGAAGTCTTATTCGTCAATGAGCGTGCTCCTTTTTGAGTTGGATTTCAGAGTATTACCCTTCTCTAATGGTCTTATTGAGTTATTTGTTTCTCTAGTTCATGATGCTTCATTGCAACCTCTTCTAATTAAGAAAAGTAAGACCTTCGTAAGTGAAATAACTAGAGCGATACTAGTGAATCGAATGACAACATCAACTTTGATGCCTCGAAGTTTTCAAAATTTTCGGCGTATAAAAACTCTATTGATTTGTGTCGCTTTTGAATAGTAAACAAGCCAGTTTGTGAACATGTTCGCTGGATTTATACGTGTTTTGATATTTAGTGTTATGGCCGATATCTCGGATTGTTTCTTGTTGAGGGTTAGCTAGGTGTGGAGTCCGCAGATCGTCGCGCGATGGCCGTCAGCTATCGTAAACTGGATTATTCATAGATCTATTAGAAGGCATTAGGATTGTAATGCACGATAGGCAAAGCTTGCTACTGTATTTTGGTACGTTTTTGTTTCTTTCACTTGTAACTCGGCCCTTGCCCGCCGTTTTTTCTATATCAATATACGAATCATAGAAGACAAAGCTAAGGGCAGATGTTTATTTCGGTCGGTTGTTTGAACTGGAAGTACAGAAAAGATGCTCGCAAAGTTCGCGCAGCGCTCGTCTACTCGAAAATCATCCTGATTTGTTTTTTGTTTTTCTTTTGATTCCTTCAACAATTATTCAAGTGATCCCGTGGAATTCATTTCGTCACGAAGATGGTTGCCGCCATGACGCTAATGCACATGAAATGGGCGTGGTATTCCTCGTGATTCAACGTCGTTGTAAAAATTCCTGTTTTCTCATATTCAATTGACGAACTTTGTTCCTCTGCATAACTGTATAACTTGTACTTGTTTTCTAGTTCCCGTTTAATAGGAGAAGCCGCGTTCAATACATTTGCTCCAAACAGCTGCAAATTGGGTTTCCCGGATAACCAGAGGCTCCGCAAAAATCTTGATAAGAGAAGGGCGACAAGAACCACTGCACCAAACTTTCTTTCCTTCGAAATTTGAAGTACCCTATTTTCCGTGTGTATAAGCCCGCCCGCTAGTATCATGTAAAAACACCTCCACTGGTGCAGTGTACTTGAGTACATCTAGAGTCAACCGTAACATGCCCATAGGGGTAATTCGATTGGCCGATGTCAGACTTTGCGATTGGAGCGATTGTGCACAAATTGCAGGAGCGACGGGAGATTTACATGGCCGACCAACGATAATTCGGCGCCATCAGCTCGTAAATGTTCCGTCGCTCGCAGCTCCCTGTCACAACGTCCAAGGCACTTATCACGGCCCGGATCCATCGCTCCAAAGTGCGAGCGACGGGAGATTTACGAGCTGATGGCGCCGAATTATCGTTGGTCGGCCGTGTAAATCTCCCGTCGCTCGCAGCGATGGATCGCTCAAGCGATCCGTCGCTCCTGCAATTTGTGCACAATCGCTCCAATCGCAAAGTCTGACATCGGCCATATGCTGGATCACGAAAACGACATTCGTTTTTAGCGGTGGCGGCATCTGGCGCCAGTTGGCGCCACCTTGTCACGACCCTTGTTTTCGCCAAAATCGGTGTAAACTTCAGTATAGGGGTTATTTGGGACCCTGATTACGAATATGACATTCGTTTTTGGCGTTAACGTTGTTTAGTGCACATGTCTCGGTTGGAGAGCGCAGACGAGCAGAAAATAGGCGTCAAACAGCGCCAGCGCCTATAATGAATGTCATATTACGTACCCCTATACTGAAGTTTACACCGATTTTGGCGAAAACAAGGGTCGTGACAAGGTGGCGCCAACTGGCGCCAGATGGCGCCAGCGCTGAAAATGAAAGTCATTTTCGTGATCAGGGCATCGACTTACCTCTATAGGCAAATTTGCGGTGGTTTCTAAGGTGTACAAAGTTACACTGCACGAGCGGGGGTGGTTTTACGTGAAATCGGCGCGGGCTTATACACCGGAAATTAGGGTAATGTAGGCGACACAACCTAATCCACCCGTTCTCCTCCCCTGAGTGTTTTGATTTGGAGGCTCTGACTAAAGCAGCAAATTACTTGAAGCGAACCGAAGGTCAATTTGTGTCGCATACTAAATAGTATCTCTTGACTCAGCCTCTATGCGAAACATAATCGAATTACCAAGTGCTTGCTATGAAATGAATCAAAATGGATGAATTGGCTGAGAAACGCTTTGTTTAAGAGGTCTTGAATAGTCTCTTTTTCACGACGGTCGTTTTCTTGCTGAGTCACTTGACGCCAGCTGTCCTCATTTATTCGTCATTTTTCGTTTAGAGTCGTTTGCTCGACAGTCGTCGCATAGATCTGGTCAACAATCGACCCCGTGGTTTTCGTGGTCTATCTGACCAAGAATCTAGTGTAGCGGTGAGATTTGTATTTTTTTTGATGAAGTTTCCTTCTAAAGTCTCGTAATTGTCCTTTTTGGATTAAAAAGACACGGTGAACCTGTAGAATCCCCACCATATGCAGCCGGTAAGTTTCACTCGAAAACCTTTTTAAATGTTGACTTATTTTTTCTTCTGATTCTGGTCAATGACTAGAATTTCATAATCTTGTAGGAGCTGACTCATTGTGTAGTGCCCTTGCGGCGTGGAACCAGTTTAGGTGGTTTTCTTCATTCTGTGCTTGTGCTATATGGCCGACTCCCTTCTGAAATGACGAAATTTGACGTTCTTTGGGAGACATCGTCCAAAATCGACTTCGACCTTTATCTTTATTAAATTCAGGAATATGTCTAAATGCCATCATTAGTAGCATACGGGCGCAAATGGAATATCGCCAGTGACGATTTTGTATTTCCTGAATTAACTGAGGCTCTTGTACGACTATCATGGTGAGTTTTTCCATTTGAACTTATTTCGCTTCTTGAGTAGTATTTATGTAGGCTTGTGCACTTATTGTTGGGGAGGGGAGTATCGCTATGCGGACCAACTTAGGAGGAGAGGATAAGTTTCAGGAAAATGAAAATTGCTTACACACCCCCTCCTCCAGTCCCTTCCGAGACTTACAATCATTTCTAGGGGCTAGAAGGAGAAATGTTGGTGTGTCGGGTTCTCGCATGACGAAGCCCTTTCCCTCTAAGACACCGGCTCCTTTGATTATCCTACTTTTGCTGGTTGATGTCTACCAGCTGCTTGAGGACTTGATGAGTCATTGTGTCAATTTTCGACATGTTGATTAGTCATTGGGGTCAAGGCTAGTGGCATTACCTGTGTACTGCCGCGTGAGTAAGCAACACTGTAAGATCGCTACCGTATCAAGTGGCTTGCTGAATACACAAGGTGCTTATTGATATGAAAGTGTACCTTTCCAAAAATGAATCAGAATAGCACTTCGAAGTCAGTATTGGATAGCACGGGCATGTGCAACGGGGATCGCACGCTGACTTTCACGTATCTCAGCAGGTATTGTGAAAACGAAAACATATTTAGTTATCACACCGATTCAGAATGGAGTAAAATACATGGCGCATCCCAGAAAGGTAAACTTTATCGACACCAAACACCGCGTCGAGTTCAATCCTTCAGCCTGTTGGCATTTCGCTTGGCGATTTCCGCATCTCCAACCTTTCGAGCTGTCTTGCTTGTCATTCCCGGTAAAAGTTAGCTCTCTAGTGGGAAAAGTGGCAGTTATCCGTCGAAGAATTCTATGAAGAGTGGGTCTCCACCGAGAAAGTTAAGATAATGTTGCAATGGTTGCCGTGCGCGAAGCTGCTGAAAGAGTAACTAAACATCAGTTTGTGGAGATTATTTCAGGATGGCATTCGCTTTTGCCGTTTTCATCCTTCATTTTCCCCTATCATGTACTGGCAAGGATATGACATTCCCATTACTGACGCTTTTATTCATCAACGGTGTGACGGTTGTGACGGTTGCCCTGGGTAAGTTTATTGGATTAATTTGTATTGTATCACGTTATGTCATAGTTTTCGGTGTTTGTTATTTGTCTTTTTCGACTTAAATTTCTTACAAGTTTAGGTTGGATTTATTTATATTCTCGAAATTTTTACAGCGTTGTTAACGGCAGGGATATCGGCGAGAGGATCGATTATGCATCCATACCCTAGGCGACATGTCGCAACCCTTCTATATATAAGACTACCGATATTCATTATTGAAATCGTACTAACTATTTTTTCAACGATAAGCGCTTTTCGTGAGTTTAATGTGTTGCTTTTTTTTCATAGGGCTTGTTTAAATAACACTGCGTATCATTATCATATAGTTAATTTCAGATCCTGATCCTCCTGACTCTGTATGCCACTTCTCTAACATCTTGAAAATAACAGTGGGCTTGGAATGGTTGCTGGTTGTGAGCGTTTTCGTTGGAGTTCTTGTCGTTTTTAATCCTGTCGACGAAGATAGCCTAGAAGACACCTCCGCTATCGCCCGAAGGACATGGTCGAGAAGATTCAGGATTGTGAGTTCATTTACTCGCATTCCACAGGATTATGGCTGAAAAAGCTGCGTTTCTGCAATACTAGGATAATTTGTGTTAGATTCGCTTCAACTTATTTGTGCAATGATTACCAATATAAAGTTGACATTCTTCGTATGGGGCAGTATGTGCGGCTAGTTTTTGTAGCTGCATTCAATGGGAGGTTTCTTCTGGTCAGGTAAGGAAAGGTACCACAGACAGTGACCAAAGCCGTCGTAAAGGTAACAAATCTTGGGAACTGATGGTTCGACGGCGCTTAGAATTTTTTGTGGAAGGCGTACTAGTCAACAGATTTTTGGAATGATCCTCTTCTCCTTGGAACTGGCGGGTGACCAACAAGTATTGTCTCCTGGTTAGTGGGCCTTCTCTGATATTTAATGCTCTTCCAAGGAATCTAAAACTTATCCAACCAGCAAATCTGTTACACTTGTTGTCAATCTTTCTAAAAGGAGGTACAGGCAAAGTTTTCGTCCATATTTCTTTATATTTTTAAGTTCACATTCCGACAAGAAGCACCGATGAGAGCGGCTATGGAGGAC